GATTTTCAACACCAGCGTCAAGGCAGTGCTCCTATATGGTTCAGAGACTTAGCGGGTTACGAAAGGTATTTCCAACAAACTACAGATATCCATCAACAACTGCCTACGCTGACTCGCTACTGAAGCTCAGATGGCCAGAACAATGAGAATAAGCAACCAGGAACTCTGGCAACGAACCAACGAAGCAAGAAGCTGTCGCTCAACAAATATGCACTGGAAGGAAGTGGAGATGGATTGGGGATACACTGAGAAGGCCTATTGGGGACATCACGAACCAGGCTAGTTGCTCGAGTAGAACCCAGATGGGAAACGACTTGGGCGCCCGAGGGTGACATGTAGGAGATCGTGTGAGGAAGAAGAGAGCTTCTGGGCTGTCGTGGAGCCAGGTTCGAAAGATTACAGAGAACAGAGTGGAATGGAGATGTGCTACTGAAGCCCTTGTCCCACTAGGAACCCAAGGGACAAATAATAATAATAATAAATAATAATAATAATAATGAAGAAGGAAGATTACGGTAGAACATAGTTAACCAGATATTTTAGCTACTGTTCGACTTAGATCCTTCTGTAGGCAGCAATGGAGGATAGTGTCCGAAGATCCACTAGGGTATGACACGCTTTGTGCAGTCTATATTTGAAGTCGTAGACACATGAAGGTGGCCTGAAGCCGTTATCTTTTATAAACACCCTTGAATCAGTTGTTGACTGGAGAAAACAATCCGAAGTTGGTTGGAAAAAGGTTTTCTCTACACAGTCAATTGTTGGGCATTCCTAGCATTGTATCTCCTCTAAATCCAATGTTCATAAATAGTATATTCTTTGGAACAGTAGAGGTTTGTTCTTCCTTGTGTTTCACCTTTGTAGTACTTCTGGCTCCTTATTCGTTGCATCACCTGTGCAAATTTTTATGCAGTGTGTGAATAAGATTTCTTTTTCTGTTAACTGGAACTCTACTTTGAAAGTGGGTAAATTGGAAATCCGCACATTTAGAAAAAGGATCGATTCAGCGGAGAGATATATTTCTTTTCAATTAGGTCTTCTTCTTTGCCTCCACACTAATATATGGATGTAAAGTTAATATCAAAACACCAATGAAGTGGTGCGGGGTTGAAAAAGAGTAATGGATATTGGCTAGCAGTAGACTGATCAATTTTGGATTTAAATGCCGCTACACTCCTAGCCTTCTTGAGAATCCTACGTAGCGTTTCTGGGATACCTTACTTGTATGGCAATACTGTGGAGGTTTTGGATTCTCTCACCATAGTATTGCCATTATTATTAACACCTATGTTACGAATATTAGTCACATTTTTCTTGCGATACCTAAGGAATTTATCAATTAATTTCCGAAGGTAATTGTTGATGGGTAAGGTGTACTCAACGTATCTGGTTTCTTGTCTTACACCTTCTGTTTTACTAGTAAGTTTTTTGACTCTGTTACTCAGACACTTTACCAAGCCAACTGAAACTGAAATAGGGTGAGACGATTTGAAGTCTAAGTAGCGATTTGAATGTGAATGTTTTCTGTAGACACTAGTGTCTAAACTTCCATCTTGTTTTCGTTTTATTCTGTAATCCAACGTCGCTAATTCGCCTTTACTATTTTCTAATACATAAGTGAATTGGATTGCCTTGACTACTGAATTTATATATGTAAAGAAACTATGTATGTGCTCCGATTTCAAGACTGTACACGTGTCATCTACATTTAGAAATCATATTTTTGGAAGAGGATTAAATGTTTCGCCAGCCATCCACTCCCAACTAGCCACCAGATTTCCGGCCCGATGATCGCTGGTTTGAATCTCGTCACGGTACAAATATTCATTTCACCTTCAATCATCACCCAGTATCGAAGATTCAATTGACAAAATCAAGTTAAAACATGGTGAGTCATGATTCGAAAAGGATAGCCGTAGCAGCAAGGATATAAGAGAAGCAATCGAAAAACGAGCGACCATATGTCTCAAAGAAACTGTTATTGATAACGGAAAATCAACTGATATGAGTTAGTTTCACATCCTTAAGCTAATAACTACAAAGGCATAACTCTGTCATAGACATAAGCTATTGACTCTCGACACACTACCTCACTTGCTCACACTTTTATTATTTATATTAGTCCCTTGGGTTCCTAATGGAACATAGGGCTTCACTAGCACGCCTCCAGTGAACTCTGTTCGCGAAATCTTTTGAACCTGGCTCCGTGACAGCCCAGAAGCTCTCATTTCCTCCTCGCACGACCTCCTCCATGTCACCCTAGGACGTCCAACTCGTCGCTTCCCATGGGGATTCCACTCGAGTGACTGGCCTGACGCGTGATGTCCCCAGTCGGCCTTCTCAGTGTATGCCCAATCCACCTCCACTTCCTTCCATTGCATATTTGTTGCGTGATAGGTTCTTGGTTGGTTCGTTCCCAGAGCTCCTTGTTGCTTATTCTCATTGTTCTGGCCATCTGAGCTTCAGTAGCGAGTGAGCGTAAGCAGTTGTTGATGAATGTCTGTAGTTTGTTGGAAATCCCTTTCGTAACGCTGCTCACACTTTTACTACACGCCTATGAGCCACCTAATAAACTGGATGTATGATTAGATACTAGTAACTGAATCAGTCTCTCTTCCTCCATACAACAGAAGACAATAATTGATATTCTTCACTGCTGGATGTCCGCTATTTCAATTATCTACAGAAATAAGTAAGGGCTCATTAAAGAGCTGCCTGAACCAGTTATACATTACGTAATAAAGCGTGAAGGAAACTCTTTTTAGAATCAACTAAAAAGTTCTTGTTTAAGAACTCCTATTATTCTTTCTTCGGTCCGTTATAGTAGACCATAAAAAGTGAATAGCTTACCAATCAAACTTATAACTAACACACTTCTCATGCATAGCATCTGTTCTTCATCTATAGTCAACGCAATGTCATTAACTTATACACTACTTGGCATAAAATTAGGAAGCATTCGTGGGAAGACAGAAAAACACTAAGGAGAAGAAGTTTCAATTCGTTGGGGAAATCACCACCATGAAATAGTCGAGAAAATCCGTGATATCAAATAATTTACCTTGCTTATTCACCAGGACACTTAAAAAAAAACCATATCATCCCTTTCCAAGTACATAAATGCTGTAATAGACGAGCGACTGTGCTGATTCGTAATACACTTATTGAGTTTTATATGTAAATGAAACAATAAAAGTAAGATTTCAAATTTCAAGAAATATATACTACAATCAGAGTTTAACATTTTAGGGAATGTATTTACGGGTTTATGGAATTCACAGATTTTTCAAGTTGGTATACATCATGGACTGACGTCAGTTGAAGGAATATTAGGAACTTGGGAGCACCGGGCAGCTGTTTCGCCCTAGGATGGGACTCTCCAGCAGTGCGATCCCACGATCCTGCCGGGGTCAGACCCGCAATCTTCAAGTTCCGTGGCTATCACGTTACCATTGAGGTACTGGTTCATATTTCCAACTTCTATCAGTCCACGACATTGGGTGACGATCGCTCTATGGGCAGATGTTTCGTCGTAGTATGGGAAGGGGTCATGGGTGTGCACTACTGAGGAGTCCCGTACTAGTCGGACGAAAGAGCTATCCAGTGCTCCCAGGTTTTCAATCTTCTTCTAACTGATGTCAGTCCATGACAAATACCAACTTGAAAAAACTTTGGAGACTGCCAACAAGTCATAATCTGTCCAACACGACGGTTTGTTATATCAACCAATTTTGCCTCATCTGTTCCGCCGATTGACAAGACATCTCAATATCTGTCAGAGGACGAATATACTGTGCTTCAGATAGTTCTTTCCTGTCATACGACTGTGAGACATGGTCGTTAAAAGTAGAAGATATGAAGTGGTTACAAGTTTTTGATAACAGGTGTCTTCGCAAAATTTGCTTGCGTATGGCGAAATTAACATGAGACCAAGTTCAAAGTCACGCGAAGGGCACTAGACAAGAGAAAAATGTCGACTGATGAAGTTATGAGCTATAGTCGACTGAGGTGCCTTGGTGACGTGTTGCGCATGCCGATTCACTGCCCACCTCGACGTGCAATGCTAGATGGAGTGAAACTAGATGGGAAGAATGTTCACAGTGGCCAGACCAAGACCTTACACCAGTCTATGAAGTCTCTCACTGTTGGTCTGATACGATAAGAATTAGTGGTTGAAGACTATTGGTGATATGGCTGAAAATCGGCCGCAATGGCACAGATATATTCACTCTTTGATGCCTTCTAAAGGTTGAGTGTTTTGGATAGCCCCAATTTTTAAATTGCCTCATCAGTCTTAGTTTTCGCATATTACTGTGGAATAAAAGCAAGCATAATGAACAGATATCATTTCCTGCGATACTTGACCGCATCAACACCACACACCTGCAACGTTAACACGGTGAATCTGTAGGGACTGTATTAGATCTCAGTTTGTACATACTAAAACTAAACGAAGTCGTTGACATTTATTAAGATTATAAAAGATTTTAGACAATTTGACTCATTCACACAGGCAATATCAACGTAGAACGGTGCGCAGAAGTGTATTACTTCAAGCTGTCACACTTCATACCACCACGAAAAGAAAAAAGTGTGTAGAAAGCGATCGCAAGGTAAACAAAAGTGTATGAGACGAGAAACAATTTGAACAATGAAGGCTAGTGAATATATTCAAACTTTTGAATGTGTCAAAGAATGAAGATATCTACGCAATTGTGGCCAATTTAAAGTCATATCACTTAGGGTCTCCCACCATTGATTACTATTGTCTCAAGAACCAACTAATCAGAGATTTCATAGACTAATTCCACATCTTGGTCTCACTTGAAAGAGTCAATCCAATGAAAGCATCACCAGACCAGTTACAACAAATCACAACAAGATTGTATTCATGCAAACATAGTAAAAACTTTCATTGGAAAAAAATTTTTTTTTAAACAATCGTTTTTATAAAAATCAGATAGATAAAATAATCTAAGCATTTTCACATATTTCATCAACTAAAAGTTATTCAAAGCAGGATGATCTGGTAGATGTGATTGTACCATTTTTCGAACTAAATCAAAACATGGCGAGTCTTTTGTTTTAATCAATTCGAATAACAATGATTCTGTTGTTGTTATTACCGCCCCAGCTGAAATTAAACGCTGGAAAACAAAATAGCAATGAATAATGAAGCAATTGGTAAACGTCGATTGATCGAAAATAGCATAAAGTGGAATTTTAGGTTGCAATTCATCATGAATTGACATCAGTTGGAGGAACATTGGAAACCTGAGGGCACTGAACAGCTGTTTTGCCTTCTTATGGGAGTCCTCAGCAGTGCGCACCCATAGCCTCACAGATCGGACCCAGGACCTTCAAGTTCCGCAGCCAGCACGTTACCATTGAGCCTCTGGGTCGGAATCCGATTGTCCCCGGTGAGGTCATGTGTGCGCACCGCTGACGAGTCCCATACTAGGAAGAAACAGTTATCCAGTGCTCCCAGGTTTCCAGTGTTCCTCCAACTGATATCAGTCCATGATGAGTTCCAATCTGAAATCAATTAATAAACCTCCACAAACCTCCAGATAGAAATAGAGGGTATGTGTGTATGTTGGTAGGAGGTGGAGGCGACAGAAAGTAATGGAATGATGACGAAGATGGTTTTTGGTCTTATTTGATGGTAAGCTGACGGCTATGACTCACTGTGACTAAAGGGTGACTGATTTATTTCACAGGCTAACTAAATGAAGATCAGAACACTGATTTTCTGACTCCCTGATTACGCGTTCATGTTATCCAATAGCATACAGATTCAAGTACGAATATGGGGAGAACAATAATGAAACCAAGTAGTTACAAACTAAAAAGAATGGTGTGAATTAAGTATAAGTTGATCCTAAATGCTAAACAGCAAGTGACTCAGTGGTTTAGGGAGATGACTACTAACCATTAGGTTACGGGTCCGAACACCGCGCCCCACTTACTGAGGTTAAGGCAGCCAGGTAGTATCAATAGCCCTCATACATTAGGTCTGGCTCATTGCATAATGCACGAATGTGCACGAGATGTTTGAGTCCGTTTTTTTGTGTTTTTCTAAGTAACTAATAAGTCCGTGACCTAGGTGACTAGTGGAGGGATCTAGGACGCGCGTTTCGTTCTGTTTAAAACTCACCAGCTGGATGCACCTGCACCCCAGTGGAGAACGATGTTGTTCCCACTGAGGCGGAGGTACATCCAGCCGATGAGTCCCAGATAGGACGAAACACACGTCCTGAATTCCTCTGCCAGTCCCCAAGATCAATATAACATCACGAATATCCAGTAGTATCGTGGCATCCACATAAGAGCCCATCTGCCAACAGAAGTCGAGTAATTACCCTCTGAACTAGAATATTGATTAGTAGAGATATAAACATCAAAGAGGTCAGCATCACTGTTATAATCAGTTAACAAAGGATTGAAGCGTAATGATCCAGCACAGATATTTATACCTGATGGTTCTGACTGAATTCAACCTGACCACTCCAGTTGGTTTGGTACAATGATAAAATATTCACAGATCTTTGAAGTAATCTGAACGCAGATACAGAATGGCACTTACAAGTCTACATCACCTGTTTTAAAGGCAAGATAATCAATCTCTATCAAAATGATCAGTGTACACTCCACTATCACTTTAAAGCATATTTGAAATTTCTCAACTGCTATACCGTGCAGTCAACACATTTTCTGTTGGAAACCAGCCCGTAGCTAAGTTTCCCAAGGTGTAACACAAAATGCCATGAACTAACTAAATATACTACTACTGGTTAACTTGAGTAGTTAGAAACGACTCTGAAAAGTTTCTTGATCGGATCAGAGTGGTTTAAACACCAGGTGGCCTGAATGATTTCTAACTATTCATGTTCCCCCGTAGTACATCCCGTTAGTTTGAGATACTTTTGTGTCAGAAATCAAATCTTATGATCTTCACTGGATCGTTTCTAACGGAAACTCTGTTGACACTAAAGTTGGAAAGTTAAGAAACAAAAGAGCTGTGAGAAAAACCAACGTGAACAGTTCAGTTTGTAAATAATGCACAAATTGATCATCTCAACTAAGGTATGATGGTTCATCCATGTCAGGTAGATAGATTTCAGTTGATATGAACAATTCAACTCTGAGCTAAATTTGTACGGGTATACTATTGATGATATCAACAGTAGGCGAGTGAAACGGCCATCCAGCGTTTAGATGGTGGTTAGGCTAGCGAAATCTCAACATCAGAGTGATTGGTTTCTAGCTACCTATACTGTCCAGTGATATATTGGAAGTAACTTATGTATATTGAGGTTATTGAGGGTTTTATTTTTAAGGCAGTATTCATCACGGACTGACATCAGTTGGATATAACTGCATGGTGTTCATAAGTCGCATGCTTCGATATAGATAGCCGAGAGTTCCAATGAGAAGCCATGACCTGCAGGGAATTAAAGTGGATACCAATGAAAGATCTTGGTGAGTAGTAACACTATATCGCGAATCGACAGAAGTAGGAAACTGTGAACCCAGTGACTAAATGGTTAACACGTTCATTCTGCAACCCTAAGGTCCTGAGTTCGATCCCCGGTTGGGTTGTGGGCGCTTAATGCTGAGGAGTCCAATACTAGAACGAAACAGCTTTCGGGTGATCCCACATCTTCAATGGTTCTTCGATTGATGTTAATCAGTGATGAATACTACCTTGAAAATAAATTAGCTTATTTGTATTGAATATTGGTTAATACAAATGATTACGACTTTCTGCATTTTGTAGCGACTGTTCTCTGCTTCTCCATGTCACTGTTATCCATCGCCAGTCAAGAAAACTAGGTGGTCTTTAACTCGTGCACTCAGCCACCTTGTGCACATCCATGCAGTAGGCAACGAGCCACATCTCCTGTGTGTGTGAGGGGAGCTAGTGATACTTGCCTGGCTGGCCAAATCTCGGGACCGGGCTCAAACCCGCGACCCAATGGTTGGCGTACTACTCACATTCCTTAACATAATGGTATGCACCGACCTATTCTTCGTATTGCAATGCTTCTCTTTCAAGTCATTTTTAATATTTCATTTATTTTTTTCTTGATGTAAAACAATGAGATAGTTCACAAATAGACATAACGTTCAGGTTCGAAGTCTATATTTCATATAAGTTATCCAAGTCATTAGTAATAATAATTGTTATAGGTACAATTTTATGAGTGAAAACGTTTGACCCAACTCAAAAATGACATTAGAATTGTAACATAAAACTGTTATTAAAACATCATTCACCTTTAAAGCAATTCTCATATCAACAGCACTCCGGGAGCTACATGCATCGGCTACAATAAAGATCTTATAATTTTCTTCCAATAGATGCAAAGCAGTTTGAAGGATACATATGTGTGCCTGATGATCAAAAAAAAACGCTTAGTGATATATATATATATATATATATATATATATATATATATATATATATATATATATATATATATATCAGTGCAAGGATGAACAACAAAAAGAGGAACTGAACACAACCTATAAAACACTGCACTGGACAAAGAAGTGAAGAAGAGTGCACGGAAAGACAAAAGACACGTCTATGACACACTGGCAAGTGAAGCAGAACAGGCCGCAAGTAGAAGAGACCCGACAACACTATATCAAATAACCAGGTTACTATCTGGGAAGAGATCAAGGCGGATGAAACCAATGGAAGATAGTGAAGGAAACCTAGTTACCAAAGAGGAGAAACAAAGGAAATGGTGAGCTGACCACTTTAAAAAGCTCTTGAATCAACCACCACCACCTGCAACTCGTCCACAAATACCACTTGCAGCCACAGAATTATCAGTGAACACAAGACCTCCGACAAAAACAGAAGTAAAGTCTTGAACGCCATAAAGTTGCTGAAATCCAGGAAAGCAGCGGAACCAGATGGAGTTTCGTCAGTAGCACTGGAAACAGATGCAGAGACAACAGCGGACATGCTCATTCTACACCACTATTGCAGAAAGTTTAGGAGGAAGGAAAGATACCTGCCGATTGGAAGAAAGGCTATCTTGTCAAACTCCCAAAGATGTAACAGGTATCATACTGGTACCTACTGCACAAGAGGTGGCCCCCTTGCCCCAGTAGATAGCCCTTTGGTGTTTGAAAAGATGGGTATTTGGTTCGAGTCCCAGTAGGAACAACAATACTCACTGGGGTGTAGGTACATCCGGCTGATGAGTCTCAAATAGGACGAAACTTGCGTCCTGGATTTCACTGCTAGCCTACAAGCAGACTACAGCACAATCAGCAGTCGTGCAGTATCGAGGCATCCACATAGGAATCAATGTGTAAAAAGAGGTCAAGCAGTTCGATCAGTACAGCAACGGGCCACTTAGTACTGAACCTCTTTCTAGCCCTTTTGCTCTCACGACCCACCACTTCTAGCGGACATTACGGAAACCTAGTCAGTTCATATTTAAGCTGTTTCCGCTCCTCTATGTAATTACAGCCAGACGGAATGAAACTTATCCTATCAAAGTTTTAAATCCACTAGTTTTCGCTAACTTCCGGTTGTAGGTTACCAACTGTCTTTAACTGTATTTCTACAGTAGATTGAATATTTTCTCCAGGATGCATCCAGATGACCGATGCTATCATATTTAGATAAATACTGATCTCTGAATACATACTTCAGACAAGATTCACTGTCATTTGTTTCCTGTACCTATCCGTCGATGTCCCAAAAATGCCCTTCCAATAAACTTTGCTTGTTTACTTGAAAGTCAAAAATACCCATTAGTACAAGTGTATCTGCGCTTTTTGCTTAAATTGACAACCTTTTGCAGAACTCATATTTTACACTAAACTTTAGTTGGTGTGTGAATAGAAGGAGACTGAAATTGGATACCAATAAGTGAGTGGCGCAGTCCTCTCTGGTTCTTACAGGTCTACACAGCTGAATAACGATCACCATTCATCTATACAGGAAGCGCGCTATTTGCCTTAACACCTAATGTTCAAACTACATTAATAGGTTAACAGGCACTAGCTATCAAACCTGGGAATTCTCATACAGTTAACTTCATAGTTTCACCACACTGTTCAGGTGAGTTCAAGTAAGTAGTAATGCTTGAGCCCTGGATGAGCGTTTCAGAACCCCAACGTTGCCACATATTCCATAGTAAGTTAAGATTATTAAAAAATGAGACAGGGATGTGAACAACGCTTGATTGTATGGGTTCATAGAAAAAGTGGTATCCCAATTACATTCGATTTACTAATAATTAAAACATGTTGCTTGTAAACAGACATTCAATTGCTGAGTTTTACACTGTAATATCTAGGTAATTGATTGTACATATTGAAAAAAAATTGAAATCCACCCAGCAACCATTTGTATGTTCGTGGAGTAGGCAATGAACCATATCCATTGTATGAGGGTTAACGAAATTACCTAACTGCAAAAACCTCGGTAAGTGGAGTGGTACTCGAGTCCATGACCTATTGGCTCACAGTCAACTAACTAAACCAATGACCCACAACTCTACAGTTGTAACAGTGTAGAACAAGTAAAACAAGGCTGCAGACCATCAGCTCAGGTACTTGGATTATAGGGCAGCTGATCGCAGGTTCTAAGCTCAGTAAACAATGGGTGTAGTTTACGACCTGACAAATCCATATGTGACCACAGGTTTGTATTTATCATGAAGTGACCTCAGTTGGAGAATTATTAGAAACCTGAGAGTACTGGGCAGCTGTTTTGTTTTAGTACGGACTCCTCAGTGTGCACCCCTAACCCCACACCACCAGGGATCTAACCCAGGACTTTCAGGTTCCGCAGCCAGCAAGTTACCATCCAGCCACTCCGTCGGAATCCAATAGTCCATACTTTCTATTCCTGACAGTTCGTGATATAGCGCGACCTCCATCCTATGCCGTCGTTGAGTTGGTTGATCCCACCGAACACGACTCTACATTAGAACTTCGGGAATCACCCTCAACGTTTCTCCAATTGATCTCACTCCATGATAAATACTGAACTGAAATCAATAAATACATCTCCATAAACCTCCAAAGTGAATCAAATGTGACCGTTGAACAGAAGTGATTTTAAAAAATGTAGACAATAAAATCAAATAGACAAAAGTCTTTTTTAAAATCTTAATAATTTTCATTTTAACAACACTGAAGTATACACCATTTGACAATATTATCTATCACCGATCAAAATCATACTAATGCATGTGTGCTAATCCGGTTGGTTGTGGCTAGCAGAGGAATCCAGGACGCATGTTTCGTCCTATTTAGGATGCACGTCCTAGATTCCTCTGCTAGCCACAATCAAGTAAATTATCATAATTAACATTCAGGCAATATCAAGGCATCCGGAGTTCATATGCCAATAGAGATCAAACAATTCGATCCAGTAAAACAACGGAGAACTACAAGTACGTCAACAAATAGTAATAAGTAATACCCGTTGTACAAGAAGTAGCTATCGTTCCTCCATGGCACAGTGGATAACGCCTTAGCATTTAAAGTGATAGGTAAGAGATTCGAGTCTCAATGGGAACAACATCACTCACTGGGGCCCAGGTACATCCAACCGATGAGTCCTAAATACGACGAAACGTGCGTCCTAGATTCCTCTGCTATTCACAACCAACCAAGTTACTATGATTAATATTCAGCTAATATCGAGGCACCCACATAGGAGCCCATATGCCCAACAGAAGAATTACAAGTATATCAATGAATGGTAATATGTATATACATTCAGTCCTTTTGTGTTCACAACCTATGCAGTCTGTTACACTTACCTCCAATCCGAATAAAACAATGGAGTAATTACGAAATTCAGCCAGTTTTTCAGCAACTAATCCATGATACATGGAGAATGATACTTTATCAACTACGAATAATGCATGAGATATATCTAGAATGTTTGTCGTATTGCCTAAACCTTTGGAATACTAGAGAGTAGGAAATAAATATTAGAAATTGAATAGAAAATAATATAAATCTCACCTGCTCTGTAACAATCAGTGGGATTCCAAGTGATTTTCCTAAATGAAGCTAATTTAATATAATTTGTTTGATGGTATGCTGAACTTACAAGATTGGAGATACGCAAACAAACATTATTTGAGTCCATGACAATATTTAACAAACTATCCTGTACATCACACATAAGGAATAAGGTATGATTTGAATCGAACATTTGCAAAGGTTTTGGTAATATTCAATGATTTTCCTAAAAAAAAACAGTCAGTAAAATAAATTCAGTTGAAGATAAGAATAAAAGTTGTGTATTGTGACTCTTTTATATTACGTAAATTTAGAAAAATGATACAATGGGAGATGTACTTAGATACGTTAAACAGGAACAGTTCAAAATACAAACAGATGAACAAAATCAACCCAAGACTTTGAACAAACGTACATCAGCTCAAATTGCCATTTTTCAAAAACAAATGTAATTAAAGAGACCGATATCAAAGTAGACAAAAGTGCACATAACGAGAAAGAATTTGAACAACGAGGGTTACGAAAAAGAATAAAATTCACAAGACATCCACTCTATATCATTATGGTTCTCCAACCATTAATTTCTATTTATTGAGTTGGACTCAAAACATCTCAGATTAACAATCACAAACTTCGTGTACTAGTGTCATATCTTGGTCTAGTTACCCTCGAGTTTTTCCCATCCAAATGACATTTCAGCTAACATTATGATTATTATTTGTCCAATGGGCTTTTCGTGGAACATAGGACTTCAGTAGCACGTCACCATTTCACTCTCTTCTCTGCAGTTTGACTCTACCTGGCTCCACGACTGCCCACAAGCTTCCATTTCTTACTCACACAAGCTCCTCCATGTTACCCTCGGACGCCTAACTCGTTCTTTTCCATTTGACTTCCACTCAACGGCCTGGCCTGGCGCATGATGTCCCCAAATGGCCTTCTCAGTGTATGTCCAATCTAATCCATATCCACTTTCTCCTTCTGCATATTTGTTGAGCAACAGGTTCTTGTTTCGTTGGTTCGTTGCCAGGCCAGAGTTCCTCCTCGCTTATTTTTTATGGCTATCTGATCTCCACCTGCAGTATCGAGTGAGCGTAGACGGCAGCTGTTGATGTCCAATATCCAATATCGATAGTGCGAGCGTAGAAAACTGATAGTTTTTGATCTCTCGAGTCTAGTTCTTAGGGCTTGGTTCGAGTTGTTCGGTTTACTCCTGCAATGGACGAGAAAATCCTCTTTGCTTTCTTGCTTTTTGCCTCGGTGAGGTGGATGTTTTGTGGGTTAGTAAGTTGTAATTTGTAGAGTGATTGGGGAGCTACGGGTTGTTGGGAAGGTTAGGGGACTGTCGTGACTCCTGTCTGTGTAGGTACCTGAAAGAGAGTAGTAAGGTAGTTAGAAAAAATGAAAAAAATGGAGGAGAAAGAGGGAAATGAGGGAAGAGAAAAAGGAAAAGCAAGGACGAAAAAGAAGGAGAAAAGGAGGGGTGAAAAAGAGAAATAAAAGAGAGAGAAAAGTATATTGGAACTGCCCGAATGGTAGGAATATATAGCGTGGGTTTAGTTCCTACAGAACAATTAGTAGGTAATGTGGGTGTATTAAGGAGATAGTGAGTGGTAGTTAGGAGGGAGGTGGGAGTGGAACTAGTGGGGTTGGTGACTACCTGAGTACGTCCGTGGTAGACCATGCGAGGTGACATAACTGTCTAACCGTCTCTTGAATGAGTCGACTGAGGGAGCTATAACGATATGTTGCGGTAAGGCATTCCACAAAGCACATACTCTGAGGGAGAAAAATTTAGACCTGAGTATGGTGTTGGCTCTCTGGTGTGCTATCTTAATGGGGTTTGCTCGTGAAGATGGTTGAGTTGCAGGCAAAATTGATTTGTTTGCATGGTCTGCCTGATGGGCGATCTTGTATGCCATAATAAGGTCACCCGTTTTCCTGCGATAACCCAAGGTAAATAGGTTTAGGTGTTTCAGTCTTTCAGGATACATCTTTCCTCTTAGCCCCACAACAGATTTTGTTGCAGTTCTTTGTATTCTTTCAAGGAGATTAGAGTCTGTCTTGAGTGTTGGAGGAGCCACCGTATTGAAGACCTCTAGATGCGGCCGCACGTAGGATTTGAAAATGGTGAGGAAGAGTTCGGGAGTGAGGGCACCAAGCTGTCGATGCAGAAAGTGTAGAATGGCACTCGCTCTGGTTGTCATACCTTTGTAGTTGGAGCTGGTGTTCAAGGTGTCGGAGAAGTTGAGCCCCAAGTTTTTCTCCATAGACACTCTGGTGATAGCAAGGTTGCCCAACATGTACTGGAAGTCGGTCGTACTTGCTTCATATTTAATGATGCGCATTACTTTGCACTTTTCCAGGTTGAAGCTCAGGCCATTTTCCGACGGTCAGAGTTCGAGTTGCTCCAAGTCCTCATAGGACTGGCATCGTTCCGCTTTTTGGGTTTTATTTTCAACTTGGATGGGGGCTGTGGCAGCGGGAGCTTGTTTACTTGATGTATCTGACTCACTGGTCAGTGCCTATGTGACAACCACTGACTCCAGAGGTCTTGGTTGTTGCCGTCTCTCCTCTTGCCTCGTGAGTCTAGGCTTACTTTCACACATGCGTATTGAGCCACCCATGTGATCTTTCGCACTATACCATGCGCATAGAACGTCTGTGAGGGAGGCATGTGAGTCAAATTGGATGGCGAGCAGTCTAGGAGTGGGTATGGACTTCAGATGCGCTGGCCTTGGCAGTCTACTGACGCTGTTGGCCGGTATATTGTCGAGACCAACTTTGGTTGAGAGCTATTGCCATTGTTGGACGTCGTAGAAGCGCCGATCTTCAGCCGAGCGGTCACTTGGCAGTTGTGGAATCCCATGTACAACCATAGTGTTGTTTCTGTTTGGATTTCCAACCACTGATTTTATTTCTTCCTCTCTTATTGACCATGGCTTTTCAGACCTGGCCTGAATTTTGCAGGTATTAACAACGTCCGGTTGTCACGAGAGGAAGGTGTCTTCGACCTCTTTGGCAGTGTTCAAAGACACACGTAAAGGGGGTGGCTTGTCTCGGGGTGCCCGGCTTCCACGAGAAAGGCAACACAGTGTTACAGGGAGAGGAGAGTCTCAGCATCTGACAGTAGTTGGCCCAATTCGGCTGTCAAACTGTTCTCTCTCGATCAACAATGAGTCTGTCGATACATCAACGTTGAACAAGATGATCGAGTTACCTCTCCTGTGACTTGAGTTCGTTGTGGGTGGCATGCTCGATTTCCCAATGGGTTTGTTGTGTATTTCTACTGGCTGTTTCTCAGTTACGGTGTGTGGGATGTTTGGGGTGAGTTTTGTAGAGAGTCTAGCGGTCGGCGTCTTTAGTCATGCGCTTGACGTTCTCTAAGGCCGGGTAGGACGTACGGAGACTCGACCTGATGTGGTCCCCGCCCGTGGTGGCGTGCGAACAGCTGGAGATTTAGTTGTTTCCAGGTCCCTGTGTTATCCTTTAATGTTAACCCAACTCTATTCGGGGATGTTGGTAGCTTTTGCATGACGGAGAGCATCCCTTTCAGGCTTTCCGTGGGGAGTACGGTCAGCTTTCTACACTCTGGATGAATGTACCAGAACCATTTGCATGGTTGTCTCTTCATCAGCTTATAGTATTGTCGGGGGACTTTGGTGTCGCAGTGGCAATGCACCCATCAGTGACATACGTTGCATGTAAATGCCTCATCAACTACCAAAACAACTTTAGTGCAAACACTGCAGCCATCGGGTGTCATAATGCAGCCTTCTTTCCATGAAGAAAGTGCTACGGATTGTGACGAACTGCTTGTGGCTGCCTTATTCTTAAGCCTTTTACGCCGTCTCCTCTTTTCAAGCATGGTCTGATCCTTGCCCGAGATAGGACTAGTTTGTGACGTGCTGGTGCTACTCTGTGTCACCTGTTTGGTGGCGGCTGGGATTATAGAAACTTAAGTTGGCCGCTTCTTTAGAAGTTCGGTGTCCTGCCCTACCTCTGTTTGTCTATGGGTACTGACTGGAGTGTTGTTTCGGGTGTTATTGTCCCTTTTTGTGCACAACCACGTTATCCGTGTCAAAGCTTTGGATCTAGCGTTTTGGGCAGATATGTCACTATTATATAAACTTCTTGGGAAAACAAATATTTAACAGCAATAACGAGGCTGGAGACCGAATGTAGTAAAAGGACAGAATATATAAAGGAAGACAATTTATGTTGGCTTACCTTCAAACACTTGTCGCTTGCTCCTCTGCTATTGACCGAGTTTAACCGTAAGCTCCAGATGTGTATGTAAAACCAGGAAAGATGTTTTCTGGGGAATGACCTCCGAGGAGAACCGAGAGCTAAGGCAGTTTGAGAGTTGAAACACCCAAGAACCACTGGCAGGAGATAGATTGGTCGGTTCAAAGAAGTAGTAATGCCAATTTTCAACTGTTGAGAAGTGAGTTGACGAATACGCAGCCGTGAAGTGCGTGCAGAAATGGGAGTGCTGCAAACGTTCGATTTTTTTAGACTGAGTATTCCAAGTGGGAGTTTTTCAAAGTGGAAAAATTCAAAAGCTGAGAGACGAGCAAAAATACGTCCCTACTCAAGGAGCACGTCTTAATGTTTTGTGCGCAGTTTGTTGGAAATGCTCTCCGTAACGCCCCAAGTCTCTCAGGCATTACATAGAAGCACTGACAAGACATTAGTGTTGAAAATCTGGATTTTGTTCTTTATGCTGAGTGTAGTAGATCCTCATGCTGATTTCAGATTAATGAAACCCTGTCTTGCTTTTTCGATCCTTCAGCTAACACTGGACATCTTATAAACTTTAGGATAAAATTTGACTTGATAGAGTTGAATAAATTGAGCATTGGGTAGATAGATAATCACGGAAATTTATTTGTAAAACCCCAATGAGGAAGAAAAAATTTTCCTGTTTCGCGACTTTTTGAAAATCGCTTCTCAAGAGAATTAAACCTGCACAAATTACTGACCGTTTGAATAGTAAATGATGACAACTCAAATCACGTTGTTCGTACATGATAACAGTATGGGTCAGACTACGTTCAAACTTGTTTTTGCTATTCGTTATTAGTCTGGAGTTCAAGGTGATGTGAATATGTGCACATGTGACTGGGTGTGAATGTGTAGGAAAAATATTGTGGATGACAAAGTTATAACGTTGTACAGAGAGATAAATGG